TGTAGCCGTCTTTGCATTAAATGAGCAAATGACACTTTGTCAGAGCATGTTTCCTGATTCTTGACAAGACTTGTTGGATTTTATATTCTTTCAGAACTAGCTTCACGTCTTGATTCAGAACATGCTTCCATATCTTCTTATCAACGCTTGCTTGCTAAGTACTTCTGATCAGCGCTTACTTTCAAAGTACTTCTGAACATGGAAACCTGCTATGCGTTAGAAGATGCATTAAATAATTTCTTATCAGAGTCATCATCAGCACTTGCGCTAAAACAAATAGTTCTTTCATCAAAGAACTTCTTCATTTATTTTCAGCTCAGCACATCAAAATGCTTCTGTCAGAACATTATATGAAACAATTAAATATGTTCATCAGAGTATCAAATATATAAAATATAATTTATTGTTATCATCAAAACTCTGAGATATGATCAGAACCAATCTTGTTCTAATAACAACCATGCGAACTTTCAAATTTAAATCAAATTACACAATAAAGTTGTCTGAATCTCAAAGCAACGGTAAAAGATGAATTGCTGCCCTATGAATGGTTCTAGATTATATCTTATGTGAATAACGCGGCATAGACATCAAGCCCTCATCAAAACCAAAATGAAATCAAACTATCGCAACAAAGTGACACCGTAACCGAATTAAACCTTGAATTCATAACAACATGCATCAAAATCTCTTTCAAATTTTCTCACACAGAGTGACACAATATTAAATTCAAACCCGAAACTCTAACAAATAAAATAAAACGGGTATCCCCACTAGTTTCTCAGTTAGTTTATACACGAATAAACGTGATATCAACATCCAACCTTCATCGAAACTAAATAAAATCGGACAGCCTAACAAAGTTTATATCACTAACTAATCGAACTTATAAACAGGTCACAGGTTTTGCAGAAATGTAGAAGGAAATATCTAAAAATGTAGAAGGAAATGAATACCTAGAAATGTAAAAGGAAATGTTGAACCAAGCTTAACAAAACCAAATGTTGGTGAAATGGTTGATAGAAGTCCTACAAGAGAGTCCAAAAAACTAAATGTTATAAACTAAATACCCAAAGAACCATAGCAACAATAGAGATAGGAACAAGGGAAACTTACCTTGAGATACGGTGGAGGACGACAACTGATGGACGACGGAAGGAGGGCGGTCGGAGGAACGGCGGAAAGAGGGCGGTATCGGAGGAACGGCGGAAGGATGAAGAGAAAAGTGTTACGTTTCTGGAGGTCTGTGAATAGAAACGAGTTCTGGAGGGATTCTATTTTTTAATTTTAATTATATGACTTTAGACAGCGCTTTTAAGAAGCGCTGACTAATATGGGCCTTTAGCAGCGCTTTTAAGTTTTTTTTTTTAAATTTATATGACTTTGGACAGCGCTTCGGAGAAGCGCTGACTAATGTGGTCCTTTACCAGCGCTTTTTTTAAGCGCTTTCTAAAACAACCCTTTTAGCAGCGCTTTTAAGATTATTTTTTTTAATTTATATGACTTTAGACAGCGCTTCAGAGAAGTGCTGGCTAATGTGGTCCTTTACCAGCGTTTTTTTAAGCACTTTCTAAAGCAACTCTTTTAGCAGCACTTTTCAAAAGCGCTATCTAAGGTCGGCCTTTTAGCAACGCTTTTACTCATTTTCGTATACAGTTTTTGTGTTTTATTTTTTAATTTACTTATAGCAACGCTTTTGTATAAAAGAATTGTCTAAAGTGCGTTGTCTAAAGACTTTTTTGGCGTAGTACTGAAAAGTGTTATTCATCTTCGCTAACTACTTCAACACATCTACTTTGACATAGTTTCCTTCTCTAAATAAAAAGTAAAATAATTATATGTATAAATCTTTATCTGTGAAATAGTTCCAGATTAAAGCTTCATTTGTATCCTATCTTTTAATTGTTGGAAATTAAACTTTCTATTAATCGTGAAAAGACAAAATTCAGTATTTTGGAAGCTAATGCCAGAATCATGATATGTATACATCTATCATTTGTGATGAACATTAACTACATATTATTGAGTGTGATACATAATATATGAATGTGTTATTGAGCAAGTGTTTTGAGTGGTTATGCAACAAGTGTTGTGGAACTAATGCATGCAAATTTTATGCAAGTTTTATGAGTTAGTGAACAAATTATGGAGCAATGGCTACTTAAAAAATAATACTCCTATATTTTTGTCTTTTTTCTCACTATTTTGCATGTTTGTCCCTTGGTCAAATAATTGGAAAAAAGAAAAAAATTACTTCCTCCTACTCATAATAAGTATTTTATTTATGTGTAGTTTTTAAGAAAAAAATTACTTCCTCCTACTCATAATAAGTATTTTATTTAAGTTATGTGCAGTTTTTAAGAAAATGATTAGATGTATTGATTTTAATAATAAAATTAATATTATTTATTAAAATATTTTATTTATTATAATTAATAAAATAGTTGAAAAATGTAAAAATCATTAAATAAAAATATAATAATAAAAAAAATAATAAATATTATATTAATATTTTAAATAAACATTTATTTTGAGATATCGAAAAAATATAAATGAATATTTATTATAAAAAAGAAGTACTAATATGACTGCCCAATACAAATGCGGTTGTCAGGCAACTTGATACACTGCCGCCCAATGAAAATGAGATCGCTAGTATATCTGCATCATTTCATGCATGAGTCTTATCACATCACGTAGCAGATAAGGAAGAATCTCCGAATGAAGTGGTGTGTGTCAGTCAAATTAAAAGAGAACCGCTCATTGCTTTTCTGGTTGTTAGTGACTTTAAACACGATCGCCCAATGCATATTCGGGTTTGTTGGAGCATATGCATGCAGGGATCTCAAGTACCATCATGCATGTAGCTTTATCTTCATTAAATATCATTCATATTTCATTCAAACATAAATATTTCTCTTTTTCATCTCTCATATAAAGTTTCTAGCACCTACTTCTCGTATCAAATTACTAGCACCTATCTACAAAGTTGTCAAGAAAATGTCTTTGCTAACTTATGGAGAAGAACATCGAGGAAAACTGACAAATATTTCTTGATATGTAAGTGATGGAAACATTTTTATAATGTTTGTTACTAAATAATTCATCTAAATGTTTACTATGCACACATTGAGGTCGGCGATTGGATTTGTCGTATCTGATATCTGATATATGCATGATTTGGTTACCTTATCCAAATAACATCATATGATGTTGATATCAAATTATCCTTGCCTTATTAAAGAGATGGAGATCAAAAACGCACATATTTTACCTTTGAATGCAAATACATATTAGAGGATGTGAACATGTTATTAGATTTACATGTTGATGGTTTGATAATAGTTGAAAAAATAAATTTCTGCTAAATCCGTTGTCAATATCTATTAGGAGTCAATATCTATTAGGAGTAGAATCGAGTAGAATCGATTGGCGAAGATAGAAAAAATCAAAGTATTAAAATGACTTGGTTTAAAACCCATTACAATTCAGTGCAATCGAACGAGAATTCCACCGAAGATAAATTTAGAAAAAATAGAACTTACATTTTATTAATTATAAATCTTTTTATTTCTAGATACTAATGGTAAGTGTGGGTTTACATGAGCTTGTTTAAATGCACTAAAAAAGATGTACAAATATTTTTTTGGGTGTAGAGTCTTACTACTAGCTGCTTGGAGATGGTTCAAAATGCCTAGTCTAGCACCAATCAACTGCAATCCATTCAATTTTTCATATCCAATCAAGTAAGTTTAAAACAAATTAAATTTTTAAAAAATCTTTCTAAATATATCCAAATAATTATTTGTTTTTAGATAGTCTGCATATGGAATGAATTATGAAAAAACGCCCCATCAATGAGCCACTGGATATGAGTCGTTCTTGGATCATTTAAGATACCTAATGTATTATTTTCAAAACTAAACTACTAAAATTTAAAGTTTAACATGAACTTTTTTAACTAAATATTTGAATTTATTTAATAGTTTATATGAAGGCCCTATCTTGAGTTTGTTAATGAGGATTCAAAAGATAATGACATGTAGAGTTCAATAGATAGAATTAAACTCTAATTTAGTATTCAAGACATTTGAGTCCACCTTAGCTGCATGGCCTATCACACAAGTTCAACTTCAAACCAATGAAAATTTAGATATTAGAAAAACGATTACAGACAAGAGCTTATCATGCCCACATAATGTAAATTAAGCTGAGTACTTTGCTTAATATAGATCCATTTCAAATTCATATTTATCACTAAATAGACTACTATTTGACTCTCACAACCAACACTTCCAACACCAAAACATCCACAAACACTGAGATCTCAACACAATCATCCAACAACCTATTTTCAACACCAAACTACCTTTCGACCCAACAAAACCACCTACACCCCAAACCAACACTATCAACTACAAAAACCCTTCATTTAACACAATTGTCTACAACATCTAACAAAAAATCTCACAATTTACCCATATAACCTTCAACTAAAGTCATCATATCACTCAATTCTTTTCCATTTGAAAGGGCAATCAGAATTTTTTAAAGCAATAAAGCTTGTCTTTGGTAGGACCTCTATATGGTCTATAAATGTCATGCTTTTTTACACAACTCCGTTAACTCTACAACCATCATATGAGAGGCAATATATATAATAGCAGTTTGGAAAGTTCTCTAAATAAATGAAAATAAATTAGAATACTCAAAATCAAGTCATTCTTATATTCTCCTTGCTTGACTTGACCAATGTTAATTTTCGGCACCCAATAAATAGGGCTACATCAAACCGAATACAATCTATACCATCTCTTGAATTTACAAAAAAAAAAATAATAATAAAGTTTCAATTTTGGCCCAATGCATACTGCAAATCAAAAGGTATAACAAGAGCACTGGCAAATTAAGTCTTAGGAGGACTTGGGTTGATTCAGACCAAATATATGCTCTAATTGTGAAAAAATCTACTACTTATGCCTCCAAAAGGGACAGAAGATTTAGAATAATCGCTTTCTGCAGCCTGAAGCTCCACAGTAACACGCCATTTGCTTTATCTTCCCATCAGAGTCCAAGACGCTATCAAGAGCGTAGCCATAGTCATATGTCAGCTCCTGCAAGGGTACAATCAGAGATTAAAGACATTTGGCAAAATAACAACCAGTACTCTAAGGAGTGGGAGTAGCTCAACTGGGCTAGAAACAATTGAGTTAAGGGTAAAAAGGAGTTGGAGGTCCACAGCTCAACTGCCATTCAATAAAAAACAAACCAGTACTCCCTCGGAGGTCCCCGCACTCCCTCCCTCTCTTTTCATATGTAAAAGAAAAAAGAAACACTCCTAACAGTGAACTAGGTCCAAATGGAAAAGGAGAGGAGCCTTAGGCAAGATCAATAATTTGTCCAAGCCATGATTCGTTTGTATAACTTACAGAACATGCATTGTTGTTAGATACAGCCTAAAGAACTCATTTATATAACTTAATATAAGGACTAAAATGATTCTTATAAAAGATAAAGGAATAAAATGAGCATTAGACAATATATTAAATGAGCTACCTGTAAAGGGGGTATGTTGTCAGCAGCAAACAGCATCACTCGAGCCAAACGCAAATCATGGTGTGTGCTCAAAACACATTGTACAAACAAATTAGGCTCACAACAATGGTTAATAAACCTAGCAATGTTTCCAGTAGATCCTGCGTCAATACAAAACTCCGGTGCACTATCGGGACTTTGGTCATCATATTTGTCCAAAAGATTGGCAGCATATGGTACATTTTGCGACCGCCTCTGTCAAAATTAACATCACACACGACAAGAAAAAAATTCTCAACTATAATAGAAAACAAGTCATGATAGAAAACAACTGATAGAAAACAAGTCATGATTTCACAGAAATTAGTACCTCCCTTCCCCCAAGACCTTTAATAGTCTGGAGGCAATCGATCTCAAATATATAGTTGTTTTCTAAACAACTGTCTACGTCGTCAGTCCTGCCGAGAATACCCGTGTACTCACACACGGGTGCCCCAGATGGAATAAAATCCCAGGATCGTACAGCCCATCCTTTTTTTGCAGTGCGAAAAACCTAGTTACAACCAAGATCAATATTAGATTTATTTAAAATTAATATACAAAAGATGCAAGGAAATCAATACAACCTCCAGACGATATCGAGGTCCTTTTTGAGAAATCCGATTCATACAACTAGGACCACAACCACAATTGGGGCCACATTCAAACACGACATCTTTAGCTTCAACCAATCTGTCAATATATTAAAAATAACATTATTATTAATATTATTGCAGCAGACATGATTTAAATGACATTTCACCAGAGTTTCTAACCTGCCACCATCCTTAGATACATAGGGAAACTCAGAGCCATTGCGCTTCGCACATTCACAGGTTTTTGGATCAGTACAACTGCCTTTGCATTTGCACCCAGAGGCATTCACAGGAAGCTTAACACTTGTTGCAACCTTGAGAGACTTAAAATATTTGAAACCTATGTAATGTTCAAAACAGGGATACATATAAGAAACAGGTAGATACATATTAAAAAACTATAATAAGAATTCAACTTTTCCAAGAAAAAACGAAAAAACTATAATGATGGTATCAAAGCCTAGTATAGATCATTTGAGCCACCCATTATTGACCAAGATTATACTCTAGATGTCCAATTCTAGGCATATGGGAGTGTTCAAGGGTTCCACAATAAATAATGATAGGGTATGATTAGAGTCTATCCAAGATCTAACAGGTCACCCATTATGTATTATCAACTAATTAAACATACCTGTAGGTGGAACAGGGGGATCATCAACCAAATTTGTAGCAGGTATGGGGACATCTTCCTGACCTCCAGTGATATCCTCACATACCAGCCTAAACAAATGAAAGCAGGGATCAAGGAAAATGTAATATGTATAAAGCATATTAAAAATTCAATTTTTCAGAATTACTTTTCATTACCCTCGTATTTCTGCAACAGACTGAGGTACGCGTCCACTTGTGAAATAAACCTGACATCAAAGGAAGATGAGCTAAAAAGAAACAAAGTGACAGATGAACTATGACCATGTGTAGAAATCAAGATAAAAAGAACTGCAATTTGTATGCAGTATCTTTCTTTTAAGAGAATATGAAAACAAAGTGTACTTCTGTAATTATTGATAAAACACACATTGAAACACATGACATGACATAAAAACTAAACTCTTGCACATTGTGTAATTTAATGCGATAAAATCTCAAATTTTCTTCTATTTAATCATTTCCTATTGCCTTGTAAATATCACTAATGTAATAGATTGGTATCATTATAAGTACAAAACATTGAGAACTAATATCCCATGGCAGCATAATTACCATTTTAGTATTATTAATAAACTCATTTGAGATAGAATAGTCTAACAGGAGTTGAATTTGCAGTCTCCTAATAAATATTGGGAATAGCTGACGGAGCAATCAACCTTGTATCTTGAAGAGATGTAGCTCCCAATGAGCCTCAACAGCAACACCTAGTCTCTTCCTCTTTAACCACACCCTCGTTCTATTTACTCTTCTGCCTTTTTAATTTATACACATTCCAAGACCTAGAACTTTACCATTCTCATCACGCCTCAACAGCAACACCTAGTTTCTTCCTCTTCAACCATACCCATGTTCTATTTATTCTTCTGCCTTTTTAATTCATACACATTCCAAGGCCGCTTTACCATTCTCATCACGCCTCAACAGCAACACCTAGTTTTTCCTCTTCAACCACACGAGTTGTTAAGTAAACTCGTTTTCGAGTTCAGAGCAGCAACAACACTCCTTTTTTTTGGGGTGGGTGGGGGGTGGTTAGAGAAGAAAAAAATCCAATTTACAAAATAGGCCTGAATCAGGTTGGGTCAAAATAGAACTTTTTAATTATTTTAAATAGTTTTAGAACGTGGATTGGGCCTAACTAAGCCCTACAAAACCGGCTTGCAATGTGAAGATTGCCTCCACTTATAAACTCCGATGTGGGACTCTAAATACCCCCCTCTCATGCCTAGGAATTGCGTCTGGAGCGTGGAACTAAATGGTGGGTGGCCCAATGGATCTTAAAAACCAGGCTCTAATGCCATCTTAGAATGTGGATTGAGCCTAACTCATTCCTACAAAACCGGCTTGTAAGATGAGGATTGCCTCCACTTATAAACACATGTCCAAGCTATATATTGTCCGATGTGGGACTCAAGAAATTCAGAGAGACATGTCGAATATTATTCCTTTATTTTATGAATTACAACCTTCTCTTATCTCCATATTCCATATCATTAATCCTTTATCATGATTACGACCTTCTCGCAAAAAACACAACTGTTACTGCATCTTATCATTACTCTTATTTCCCCATAAATTATCTTCTATCACTATTCTTCTACCTTATTACATTAAAAACAGAATTGCTTCTTTTTTATACTAAAAAGTTAAACTTCTTCCTCCTGATGATTGTAAATTTAAATTTATGAACGCTATTATACATGCATAAGTATATTTTTCTACGAGTAAGATCTTACGATCTGTGCTACGATCCCCGAGTTACGATATTTCAATCCTTCACTGATTCTGCATAGACTCTCGGGTTTTTAAACATTGTTCATCACCCAATAGCAGGACCTATAGAACCAAAATCTAAATATCATCAAAAACACATATTGATTTCTTACGGACACCACCACCCACTTATTCATGTCTTACACCCCACCACTTTACCATTCACATTACCCAACCAAAATTCCAGCTGACACAATAGAACCAAAATATAAATATAATAAAACCGCCCAAATTTCCGGGCGCTACCTCCCATGGTTGTTAGGATCGCGCTTTAACTCCCAAAAGCGTACAAACTTTCACGCTGGCAATCATCCACTGCTTTAAATGGCAGAAAGATTGTGGAATTAGCTTGTGGGATCGTGAGATCCCAACAATTCATATTTTATTTTGACGCATTTTGAACCCGTTTTGACCCGGCCCATAACTAACCCCTTACACAAACCCTGGCAGCAGCGCTCACATATTTTAGGGTTTTGGGTGTTGGAATATTTTTAATATGCTTTTGAGAACAGCAGAAATAATCATCGTGAAAGCAGTGTGCAGCCACAAAAAACATTGGAATTCTGAGAATGAATTCTGAAACAATTAATCATTCAATGGATGGATTTCTTCTCTTCATCTATTTCTGCTATAAATTCAAATCAAATCCTTCAATTCTTCACATCTTTTCTATCCTTGCACTCTAATAGCTCTTCCTTCCTTGCAAAACAGAGCTTCCTTACAAAATAGAGATTATCAAAAAATCCTTTGATATATTTTAGATAATATTTGAGTATAGATGATGTATTTTGGAATGTGTTTGAGACTATTATGTTTTTAGTTGCAGTTATGAATGTTATGTTGGACAAATATATGTTATTTTGGATTGAATATTTGCTATTATGATTAAGTTAAAGAGAATTTTATGTCAAGGTTATTTTTCCTAGTTATTTCTATAATTTTGTCTATTTGTTGGGATCTTACAATCCAAGTTACGATCCTACAATTTTGCACTTTTACCATTCCCTAATGATCTTTATCGTGATCCCAATTTTGATAAAAATGCTACCACCCTCATAGCAAAGCACCGTGTACACCAACACCCACCTATCCATGCCTTACATACCCCTACCCAAAAACCACAACCCTAAATGGCAAATTTTGAATCACATCTAAAAACCATAATTTTACACCCCAAGAAACTACAACCTGATAACTCAAATTAAAACTGAACAGGAATAAGAAACGGATGAACAAGTTAATATACCAAAAGCACAAGGAAAATGAAAACAATGAAGGCTAGTTTAATGAAAAGGGCTAAAACATGGATAGTGGCTAAAAAAGAATAGATGATACAGAAACTAAACTCAGAAATCTCTGCTCAGTTATAAAGAAAAGTGAAATATCAAAGATGGAGAGGAAGATGATGAAGAAGAAGAGGGTGAAGGTTTTAATTAAAGAACCAATGTACCCTAAAATAAATTAAATTGGGAGGTTTTATTTAAAATATAATTTGTTGATTTGAACCTATGCATTAATCACAGATAGCAGCACATACGCTGATACGCTAGACTATAAAAGGATATCCACTACTACAAAGAATAAAAAACAATATACTAACTAAACATGAATCCTAACAGGTGCAATCAAGACAGAACTTGAAGTTTATAGTGAGACATAACAAAGATGGGTAAAAATAATTGGTTGTCGTGGATGAGTGAGGATGTGGTGGTGCCAGCGGGACAAAAAGTTTGATAGCAACTTTACAATAAAACACATTAGGAGGGCAACATATAAAAATACAAATAACAATTGAAAGATGGAGCTATAAAAAATATAGTCAAACCTGATTCGTGGTTAAAGTAGGCTGTCCATCAACCCTCCTAAGCCGAAACTTGTAGACTGTGAAGCCAGATATTCCCTTCTCTGCCCAATAATTGACAACCTGTAAAACAAGCATAACATTTAAAATATGGAATTATTATTGCTGGTTAGATAATCAAAACCCAATAATTAATAATAAAGTGAATGTAATTATCATGAGTATATCCTTCAACTTCCAATTCAAAGATTATTACCCAACACTTAAACACTTATATAGGGATACTCTCTGCTATATATGAGTCAACTTACAAATTTAAATACACAAACATACAGTGAAAAATAAATATGTAAAGACAGATGGCATGTGTCTTGTTTACTATTATTTAAAATACTAATATCTGATCTTTTTAGTTGCCTTTTACATAGGTGTGTGTGCACGCGTGTGCATGCAAAACAGAGATCCAATTATTATAGGGAAACATATTTGAGTAATAAAGTCTTCAGAGAACTTACCTTGTACAATCCATCATATGTATAAACTTTACGAGTATAACTGTCACGAGAGTTGTGACCTCGAATTACCCTTACTGGCACACATTGCTCTGAAGAGTTCTACACATGAGATTAAATCATGTTAGATGTGCCTTAGAACATCAAATAGAGTAAAAGGGATTAGAGAAACTTGCCATACTAAAAAGAACATAGGTACATGAAAGAATACAAGAGTAAGGTTCATTGGCTGGTTATTTATGATTTTGGGTGAATTGTTAGAAGCATTCTGCAGATAGAATAATATTGGCTACTACAATCATTAGAAAGCATACCTTAAGTGCCAAATTACCCCGCTCCATTTTCTGATCTCCCATTTGACGCTTATTACCAGTCAGGTTGTGGCCACCTTGACCAGTGTAAATGACATCTTCGGCATTATCAAGGTCATCTTCATACATTCCAGAAATAACAATGGCCACAGCAACTGGGAGATTGTAGCTGTTGTACTGCAACAACCAAAGAGATGAAAGTAAAAAGTGAGGGGTTTGTAAGGAACATTATAGTAAATAATTTATTGATTAAGAACATATGAATCACTTGAGATCTTTTGATATTAAAAATTAGACTACTGGGTAAAATAAGGGCAATAAGAAGTTGTATTACCTCTTTGGAATAAGACTGGCCCATATAGTCAATGCCATTTAACCAGTGGCTATGAAAACCAATAGCCACCATTTCCGCACGAGAATAGAACTGATATCCAACCTCGACACCTTGAATATTAGAAAATTAAAATACATTACGAGCAAAATTGAACAGTGGTTATTGATGAAACGTGAAATAAGCTAATTATAACATTTGTTATGCTATAAGAAATCAACAGTCAATACACACAAGATGAAGCTTGCCAACCTGGAATATCGCCAATTCTTTTTTCAGGGAACAGTATCTCATTATTTTGCATCATCTGCGAGATCTCCACAATATAGAGACAGCATTTAAAGAAAACATGTTAGATACAACTAAACTGATTTGCATCTGGCTTAAGCTTATTTTGACAAAATAATACTTTTAGCACAACTCGAGTGAGCATTAAGATTATTCCCCTAGCAACAATTGGAGTCAAAGTACCAGAATGGGAATAAAATCAAAACAAAGGATCATATGAAAAATAAATAAATTTAAATTGTTTTAAAAGTAAAAGTACTCTTTTAAATTGTTTCACAGATATGGCTGATAGCAAACAGAAATTAAAGCATCAATAAATAGGAAGAGAAAAATCAACTAAAAAACACTAACAATCAAAAGATGAATAAGGTAAACTGATAACAAGTTAGCAACAGCGCCGACAATCAGTTTTATCAAATGGCGGCGCCATGCCCGCTATGGCGGATATACTTGGCAGTTTTGGCCTCTCCGCAATGGTAAATATCAGGCTGATATGAGGGTTTTTCTGCCATAATCCACTATAATGGCGCCATAAAGCTGCCTGTATGATGGGAATTTGGCTCTCTATCATGAACCGTCATCCGCCATCAACAACGCGGCTGACAATCGAAGAAAGTGAAATCCTACACTAAATGATCAGATAGAAAATATCAGCAGACTTTGTAGTCAAGATTCAACAAATTCAATTTTTTTACTTGCCTTGGTTAAGGCCTTCAGATCAGGTCGCTTGGCAGGGGTCTTTGGTTCTGTAGGCAACGTATCTTTCTACACAAGTTTAAAACATAGAGTTTTGTCAGTAGTATAACACAACAAGTTATTTAAACAAAAATACAGCTCAGGCCTAAACTTGCAATGAGTATCTAGTGTGCGACATTGAAACACAAGTAATAAAAGACACACCTCCGCCACTGCAGAGAGCTTTACCTTAGCATTTTTCTTTCCAGCAGATGATTTAGAGTTTTTAGTAGATTTCTTCGCAGGAGATTTCTTGGGAGATTTGTTCTTCTTCTCGGCTTCGGTTCTTGCTTGAACACACCTCTCCTCTTCTTCCTGTACATTCGTAAGATAAATTACTTCAAGCAAAACAAGGAGATCAAGAGACCATACACAGCTATATAAAGAAAACTATAATGTAAAAGTAACTAACCTGAACCAAATGGAGATAGTGTTTATTAAACACTCTAATCGTATCTTTCACCTTAGCGGCATAACTCTTTTCAGCTGATGCATCAGCTGGATTTTCCGAATCCACCTTCATTTTTTCATCCCAAACTTCCATCAGCTCACGCTTCGCATCCAGTGCAGACTTCTTCTTCATCTGCTTCTCCGAAGCAACCTCTTCATTGCTCTTCGTCTGCAAATCAGACACAACCTCTTCTTTAACCGCGCTCTCTTCCTCGCCGTGACTTTTCTTAACGCGCTTGTTCGACTTCCCCTTAGCCGTCACAACCACGCTCGATTTCTTTCGTTCTTCAACCACCTCTACACTCCGTCGTAGCTTCACCTCTTCGACTTCTTTCAGCTTAGCTGCTTGGATTCGAGAACTCGATCTGCGTTGCGACATTGGTGTATCGTGTTCGGTTCAGCTTTCTTAGCACCACCGTATTTCACCGTTACTTTGATCTTAGGGCTCATCTCACTCTGCAAAACGACACCAACACCCCCGTCGTTTGCAACAGAATCGTTAATCTCGAACGATTTGGCAACCATGGAAACCTGCAAAATCGAAACAAGAAGGTTATAGGTTAAGAAAATGCTGATCGAATAAGAGAATCAACGGTGAAAAACGATTGAGATTGAAGATTTACAATGGAGAAGGTTTTCTAGGGTTTGGAGAGAGAGAGAGAGAGAGAGAAGAGTGAGAAAATGAAATGAAGAATTTCTATCTCGTGTACGATTGAGTGATGATGATTAATATCTCCACTCTCAAGAGGTGGAAGAGTGAGAGGCCATTCCCGAAATTTTGGGGAATTTTTTTTTTTTTATTTTATTTTATTTTATTTTTTGGAATTTTATTTTTTTCTTTTCGCGTTCCCGCTTCACGTTATTTTGATTTCCGATTCTCGCGGTATGGACGAAAAAGTGCAATGCTTCGCATGAGTAATGTGTGCTATGTTAATGTGTTTGAATTGAGAAACTTGTTACTATTGGAATGTTTTTCAAATTTTAAAATCTAATTTGGTGTGTACTTGTCTATCTCTTGCAAGAAAATGTTTTGACCGTTTGATTGTATTGCTTTGCTATTCTATATTTTTTATATGCTTATTACTTCAATTCTACGGACACAATAAATTTTATTTATTTTATTACTACATTGTTTCATTTTCAAATTTCAAATCATTTTTATGATATTGATCTTGTTCACAAAATTGTTGATTTCCATTTTTAATATGGAGTATTTATCATTCTTTGAATAGAGTCTAGATTAGAGTATTCAAATTCATTCTTAATTTTCAACGGACAAAAAAATTATTAGACAGAATATCATTACTTATATTTAAAAATATTGTGCAATTGTTTTGACAAACTATTAAAAAAATAATGATTAAATATATTTATATGTATTTTATGAAAAATAGTTTAAATCATAATGGTTTGTGAACTCTTTATTTAAAATCAAATTAAATTTTTCATATGTAATTTTTATTTATCGCTGAGATAATTGAAGATTAGTCTATACATGTATTTTATTTAAAATTTTGAATTCAAACTTGTGTCTTCATAATTCTATCTTCTCAAAAGTGTTTTTTTTATAAATATTGTCCAATTGTATAGACTAATCCTTTATTAGTAGAGGAAAACAACTAATGATACAGAAATACTGATATTAAAAATCTTTTATTGTTAATTAAGTTGTCCATCAACCCTTCTAAATCGAAATTTATACACTATCAATCAAGATATTTTGTTCTCTAGCCAATAATTGACGGCCTCCAAAAAAAATATAATAATTAAAATATGAAATTATTTAAATTTCAATAGTTTTATTTTAAACAGTTTTATGACAATGATTGATACCGAAAAGTCTCTGTTCATGAGATTGTTGATTTTCATTTTTAATATCACGATAATTATCATTCATC